GTGGCAGCCTCCAGTTTGCAGTGATGTGTCACTGTATTGCCGGTTGCTTCGTGAAAGTTTGCTTCAATATGAGCCGTTGCCGCGTCGCAAAAATGAGGACCTCGTTGACAGAGCCGCCAAAAGATGGCTTTCAGACCACCAACACGAAGTGGTCGTGGTTGACTCTGACAAAGGTTTAGGGGACGTGGTATTATCTCGCAAGTGGGTTCGCGACAAATGCCTGGCTCTCCTTCGCGAAGCTTCGGTCCCATTCACGTCGGATTCCTACATGGCAGCAACTACAAGCATGAAATTCGAGTTCGATTCAGTCATTACTTTGGCCATGAACGACGGGCACATTCCACAATCAGTGCAGTCATTTCTCCTTGAAGATTTTGGTTCTTCAGTCCCTGGATCCTTCAGGCTTCGAGTGAAAATACACAAAACACCTATGGGCGCGAGACCGGTGATGAACATGTCCAAGTCCTGGTTACGAAACATTGCCTCGTTCTTAGTGGTCGCCTTGCAACCTGTGCTGGTGCATACTTCAAGCGTGGTGCAGTCCAGCTCGAGCTTTGTGGGTGATGCTACAAGCTGGTATGTTCCCGAGGGGTATTTCCCTTGCACCATTGACATCAAGAATCTTTATCCTTCTGTATGTCATCGTCATTTCCTGAAGCAGTTCTCAGCAAGGCTTCGCAAGTTTTGGCCACGGCGTCATGGCTATGTTTCCTTCCTGATTAATTTGACTTCTCTATTGCTACGCACCCAATTCGTTAGCTTCGAGGGGTCCATTTGGCATGTTGAACAAGGCTTCGCCACAGGACTGCAATGCGGAGTAGTGTTCGCAAACATTTATTTGACTGAATTCGACGACTTCCTCATCAGAACTTGCTCTGACATGGGCTTTCGTGTCTTAAGTTGGCGCAGGTTCATCGATGATGGCTTTTGTTTACTTCCGTTCCACAGCTCTCGGACTCTGATCGAGTTCGCAAATTCTTGGAACACTCAGATTATTTGGGAATTGTCTGGTCATGACGCCGCCGTTCCTTTCCTGGATCTTCAAGTTTCAGTCCAGCAACATCGGCTTCATTTCCAGACCTACCGCAAGCCGCAAAACATTTATGCGTACTTGCCAAGATCTAGTTGCCATCCGCCATCAGTGTTTGAATCCTTGGTGACAGGTGAGACCACTCGCCTTCATCGCACAAATTACCGCAACCCCGCTTCCTTCCACGAGCAAGTGGAGTTCTTCGTTGAAAAGCTTTGCAGACGAGGTTACAACTCCCTTCAAGCAAGAAAGCTGATCGAACGAACTTCGAGGAGGCTTTGCATGAATCAGAAGCGGCCGAGCTCCCGAACAAGGAAGTTCTTCTTCAAGCAAACTTTCTCTTCGACCCTCAACGTGAAGGTCATCAAGAAATCTTTGAAGAAAAACTGGCATCTCATTCAAGGTTTGTTCCGTTCCCCTGTGGATGTCATGATGTTTTACAAGATCCAGCCGAACGATTTCCGAAGAAACTTTGCCACCAACTGGGTGTATAAACCATTCAGTGCCAGAGCAGGGTGAGGTGGGAGGGCTCTGGTTTTTTAAAAACCCTTGGATGTACAGTGGGCGGGGAAACAACAGAAAGGCTATTGACTAAGCATCGCTGCTCAGATGGCCTCGATGCGCGGGCACTGCGCCTGTTCAAGGCCAGGGACGCAGAAGTGCGGAACTGCTTTCAAGTCAGGTTTCTTCGAGCAGCCTACTTTACTGGGCATACTGTGTCCAGACGCATTCTGCACGCAATGCAAAGCTCTGAAGCTTGCTTCGTGGACTGCGCAGACTTAAAGTCGAAGCGATCAGCCCCCGAAGCATTTACCTCACACAGTCCTGCGACCTGTTTGAAGATCTGCTTTCTTCATGCCGCAGGAGGTGGAGCGTCAGTGGCCCGCTTTGGAGCGGGAGGAGTCCGTGGAGCTCTTGGTGTAGAGGCGTGGCGAGGGTTTCTGCTTGCAAGCTAAGGTTTAGCAACTTGGGATGGAGGAGCGAGAGGTCAAAGGGTTCAGGATGCAGCACTAGAGCTTGAGGTCTAAGTAGTGGGCAAAAATTTGGTTGGGAATTTGACTTGAGGTTTTGTTGGGTTGAAGTTTGGGTTCAGGCCCGTTTCAGAATTGAGAGTTTGTGTTTGAGGGTAAGGATCTGAGGCCAGATGGCTGAGCTTGATGTACGCGGTTGAGTGTACGGCGCACCACGATACCTTAATTGGAGGATCATGGGTAGTTGTAAGTGGGGACTACAAGTCCCCTAACTAGGTTTTTTTAAGTAAACTCACCTTGATTATAACTCGAGCTATAACTACCCATGAATCTGTATAGTTTGATTTATTTCTTTATTTATGTACTTATTTATTTACATGGGCTTAGTGGCCCCGAGACATGTGCGCATAGAGACGCCTGCAGTTTGGGAGCTGGGCGTGTGGGAAACATGTTGGTCAAGTTCCCTTTAGACCAGTGCGTGGCTCAGAATAGGTGTCTTCGGGTATCCTCTTTTGCACCTTTGGCGCCTGAAGATATCCCCAAATCTCAGAATCATGGTCCTTCCTGGTGACGCATGAGCGAACCACAAGTCTGGCAGGTGGACATCTAGAGAAGTCTTCAGAACAGGACATATTGAACCATAGCAAGAGCAGCAATACGGCATCGAACCGATGACAACGATACAGGCAGCACCAAAAGAACGTGGCTGCTGGCATGATGCCATGAGCGGGGCAACCCCAGACGAAAGAAACATTTGTGATAACGGTTCAATATATTGAAAGGGTACTGGAACCAAGGGTAAACAAAGAGCCCAGCAAATTTGCCAGGAAGAGAAGCCATCGGATGCACAACCGCATTTTGCGGAGGAGACCGGAACTTCCCAGTTGCGGCTGTAGTTGTGGTTGATGGTAGGCTGTAGGTTCAGGATTTGAGAGCTTGGACAAGTTGTGGTTTCTTCAGTGCAGCAGCCGGGTTTCTGTGAGATCACTGAGAAAGCTGAGACGCAGCCTCAGACAGCCGATCGCTTCGGGAGGTTTTCTGATGCATGGACCGTGGATACGTTGGGGCAATTGCTTTCTTGTCAAAGGTTGTGAGCAAATCACAACGCTTGCGTCGGGCACGCAAAACAAGCTTGGCACAATGCCCGCCGGTCGCAGTCACACTCCAGACATTCGTTGGAGTGACAGGGGAGCGGACGCTACGACGTAACTGCAATCCCTTTGGGCATCTACATGCACATGGATCCCACTTATCTGAAGCGGAGTGATAACATTCCCTTGTCAAACAGGTGATAGTGTAGCCTTGAGAAGGCACTGAGTGCGGCGAAGAGCAGACGCGAAACAACTCGTCTGTCATTCTCAGCTCCCACAAAGTGCTGACAAACCCAACTCAAGTTTTCTTTGTTAGGGGTCTCAGGGTGTCTTCTTCTACATATTTGCCGCCTCAAGACATCCCAAAACAT